TGCTGATTGGTTTGTGGATTTCACCTCCAGGACAGAATGTCCTGCATCTCAGCATGTGGAGGTCCCAGCAACCTGACCTAACCATCCCCTGGAGATGCTCAGAGGAGGACAGCTGACCACACCTGTTTCCCCAGGCTAAGGGGCAACGCCACGTAGGTCCACTGCCCAATTTTCCCAGAAGTGCAAAGGTTTCCAGAGGCAGAGACATTGGCCTCACTCCCTTTTATGCTTCTAAGATCCCACATATTCTTGAGGACAGACAGCGATTCCCGTAAGTAGATGTGGGGCCACTTAGAGAAGAAATGCTTTCATCTAAATTATATATTTTTAAAAAAGATTTTCTTCTACCTTAAAAAAATGTTCCCAAGGTAAACATTTTAAGAAGGACAGACTAAGAGTTGAAACTAATATATAAAATAGGCAGAAATGCAATAAAAAAGTAAATGTCCAATATCTCTTTTTTGTTTTTCATAAAGATCACTGAAGGGGATTATGCAAATTAATTTTAGTAAGAACTCTTTTTCCACGTTATCTTCAAAGCATACTTTATATACCTCATTAAGCACACGCACAGAATATATAGAAAAAAGGTTTCATGTATCACATTACAGCATTCCTCTAAGTATACGGATACTTAAAAATCTTTCAAGCTCTTGTCCCTTGACAGTGCTGTCCTCAATCAACTTCAGAATCCCTCTGCTACCTCGATAGAAAACTAGCCAGTCCACAGTGTGGACGATTCACAAATGGGCCGAAGATAAATGGCTTGGAGACAAGCAGCGCTGGAGCTCAGGGCTGTGGCGGCTCCTGCTGGGAAAGGTCAGCGCAGCTGTGGGACCAGCTCGTGTCCCCTCGCGTCCTGTGTCACAGCAGGGCCCGGAGGCTGCGTCCGCACAACGGGACACCAGGTCAGGGAGCACAGGGCTGAGGGAAACAGGTGGGTATCTTCCCACAAGGCGGTTCCCAGGAGGGGTGAGACCCCGTGAGGGCTTAAAGCCGACAACCCCACAAAACCGTTCACAAGCAGGGCCCTGACTCGGCAACGAAACCATCATCAAATTGCCTGTGATGCCTCCCAAGCTTCACGGTGTGTAGTCTGAAGTGTTCCAGGGGCAGCTCCACCGGAGCCTCTGGACGTTTCTCTCTACATCCTTCCCCTGGACGCACACGCGTGCTCAGCTTCCTGACCTCAGACCGGCCCCCGCGAAGAGCTCCGCAGGGTCGGCTGGGGCACTGTGGGGTGCAGCTGGGCTCAGGCCAGCAGGACACCCACACTGAGGCATCCGTGGGAGAAGGGAGGGGCCCTGAGCCCAAGGGAGCCCCGCAGACCCTCTGGGCACGCTGACTCGGTTACCGAGGCCACGAAGACGTCTCCGATCATCTCCACCGAGTCCCACTCGGCCACGCGGCTGGCCAGTGCGATCTGGAACATGCAGTGGCACTGCAGGACCTCCTTGACCCGGTAGAAGACCGTCTTCAGCTTCCTCTCGCTCAGGATCTTGGGCTCCATCTCAGACAGCGGCTTCTCGTATTGCTGAGGCAGAAACGCACAAGGACGGCCCAGGCTTTTCCCAGGGTTCATGAAAGAACATAGAGAAACTCACCTGTGCAAACTACGTTTGTGTCCAAACAAACCAGGCGACTTTTGATGTCAATACACAGACACAATTCTCAGATTCTTTTAAGAATTTTGCCAATTTGAGTATTTTATAATTCATAGGTTCACGAAACATATCCATTATACAATGTGACATTTAGATACCTCCAAAATCCTCTTAAGAGCATCCACGTAGCTCTTTTCACTGTCGACAACCGAACCCAGAATATATCTTCTTACGACCTGTTGAGAATTTGAAAAGACAACAGTCAAAACCTGCCTCAGAAAACACAACAGATAAATCTGACTTCGTTGAGGCTTGTGGACAAAAAAGTTTTTTGTTTTCAAGACAGTACATAAATGAAAACTCCCAAGACCTTAAAATATATTAGTGCATTAACTACCTACCATTATGGGCAAAAAACATTGGTTCCCCAGCACCACAATTCTGTTATTTGTAAACCTCAAATTATAAACCACAACTACAGTAACACAATTAAATTATGGCATTAACAACAATTTCATTCACTCATCCAACAATAATGAACTGAATTAACGGATTGTATTTTATGTGCCAAGCATGGAATTACATGGTATTTCATGTATACATTAAGCATAGAAAAAAAACCTTCCAGTCTTGACTCAAAGAATGCTATTACCAACACATCTCAAATAATTATTCCAAAGTTATTACAAAAAAAAAAACTTTTGGAACGTGGAGGTATAGTTTTCTTTTGTTTTGAGGCCATTCGAAGCCTACAAGGCTAAGAACGCAGAGAGTAAATTACCAACGTCAATTCCAGGTGGAAAAACTCCTCCAGACCTGAGATGCCTGCATTTCAACCAGTGACATCACTTTGGGATTTGTTTTCATGACTATAGAGGACATGCAAGCACAAGTTTCTGGCTGTAAGATGCCTGTTTAAGGCCAATGACGACACTGGGCACTTTTGTCCAGTTTACACACCGTTTGCAAAGTTGTTTTTGCCAATAAATGGCAAGTGAAGCATAGAAATGACAAGGCTGCTCCTAACCCCACCCCCGGCAGCCCCATCCCAGGAACCGCGACGCCACCTGGCGGCAGAAGGCACATCCTCCGAGGGCGCGCCTCTTGTCAAGTCACCGACATCCACAAGGGGGCGACTCCTCTCCTTACAAAAGGGCTGCTCCTTCACAAAATGAAGGTAAAAAGCAACCTTCAAGGACACTTAAGGAAGAAAGTGATGTGTGTAAAAGGCAGATGAGTCTGGAATTAAAGCACAAGCACACGCGGCCGCAGCGATGACCCCTCCCTCTGAAACGAGGGTGGCACCCCACGACCCAGACACCCCCAAACTCCGGATGGTCAAATTTGGACCAGCCTTCTCCCAAAATTCAGATTCCCACACACTGTCTCAACTCTGGGGTCAGGATATTTGAGGATTTGCGGGGGGGGGGTGGGCGGTCTAACCTAGGAATTAAATATGTTTTTTTAAGTCCTGAGATGACACTAATGTATCATCAGGTCAAAGGACCTGGAATTGGTATTACTGAAAAATACAAAGTAAAACCCCAAATCTCCCCCAGATCCCAGGGCTCCTTCAGGTCGGGTCGGCCCCTCAGTTAAACTCAGTGCGTGGACGGCACAGCCAACACGGGTTCCCAGGCCTCAGGCTTCCCGGGACCCTGACCCCGAGGTTGCAGGGAGACCTCCGCCCTGGACCAGCTTTCCTACGAGGCCACGGGGACCCGCGGGAGATGTGCCTGGGCCAGGAGGTGATTAGAGCAATGCAGGAGGAGGAGGGGGGGTGGCAAAGGGGAG